TCAACAAATTCAGATCTAAATGGGCCAGATTGCTGGGCCTGAACCTCACGAATTGGGACTACACCCCCACCCTGGTTTGCATTTTTTATTTTTTCTTATATTTTATTTTGGTTATTTCATTTATTTATTATCTTAAATTAATTAATTACTTTTCTACAAAATACAAAAACATTATAAAAATCAGAAAAAGGCAAATAAAAATATAATTTTTATTTTAATTACTTTTATAAATAAATTAACATGTAAATATTTAGTTTTGATTAGGTTGTTATTTTAATTCTTTTAATAACTAAAAATCCAAAAAAATAATTAGAATTAGGTTAATTAACAATTTTCATTCCTTTTAATTTCCTTTTTACAATAATTATAATTATTTTATTTCATTTATTTTCATAAATTAAATTTTTTCATGTAAATTGACTTAGATTTAAATTAGGTTAAAACTTAATATTTTCGCAATAAATTAAAAAAACATTAGAATTAGGGTTTAGCATTTTATTTTTAATTTCAATAAATTCTTTTTCTTTTAAAACTTAAAAAACACAAAAATACCCAAAACATTTAATTTTTCATTTTTTATTTTAATTCCTTATTAAATTTAATCTTTTTGCAAAAGGGTCCAACGCCCGTCGCTTTTAATTATTAATTTCGCGCGTTTACTTTATTGCTTATTATAAATTGTGTACATGTCCCAAAGCCTTGTAATTTTAACTTTTCGCACTTTTATTCGCTTTATTTATTTTTTCAGTCAAATCGGGTCCGGTTTAATTTTGGCGATGTGGACCCGCGCCATTTGTAATAGCCTTAGATTTATTTTCCCGCAACTTATAACTGTTAAAAAGCATGCAAGAATGAATGTCTTAATTAAAATCAAGCGTAGATCACAATGACATGACAAAAGACAAATATCAATGAAAACGACACACGATTCGCACACACCACCCCTAGGGTACGCCTCACTGTTGCCTTTCGAAAGGTGATCGTCGAGTAGAGGACGTCTTAGTAAGTCCTCATGATCCGGGAACCTGGCATGAGGGTAGCTTCTAAGGTGTCTTCCCATTGCTCTGGTGATCACCATGTCCCTACAAACTCGAATTGACCCGAACACCTCCAACGGTGGTGCTACCTACCTCTCAATGGTGGGATGGCACTACTTTTAAGGACATTTATACAGACGAATTCCTTAGGGTAGGTAGGTTCTCAAGGATACTTGCTCTAATTTCAAAACAAACAAAAATACTTTTCACACCACACATTTTCAAAAGCTTTCAAAACAAACTTTTCAAACACTCTGACGTATGAGTCGATCTGAAATTTTTCAAAGAACTTTTTAAAACCCACATCGAAAAGCAAACAAACAACTTTGAAAACACATTGAGCAAGTATCTAAGAGCCCATGGATAACCATGGATAGAAAGGGTGCTAACACCTTCCCTTTCTATAACCTACCTCCCGAACCGAGAGCAATCTCTTTAAAGGAATTTTTCTGTGCTTTTGTCCTTTCCATTTGGAGAAAATAAAAGACGGTGGCGACTCTTGCTTCCGCGACATTTCGCGAACCAGCGTTAAACAGTCAGTTCCAGATCCACCGATCACAGCCACGAAGAATAAGTTTGCTAATGCAAACATTCTCTTTTTCAAGATTTTGAGTGGCTAAATCCACACATATATGTCTACTTGAATGCTTCGAGCGTATAAGACGTAACATGCCTTCCAGTAAGTCAAGAATGCAATATGTTTTTGGTCATCGACAACCTCTTTCGAATATTGATGATCTTCGATAAAAGTACAATAAGTAGTGTTTTTAAACTCAAACGCCGATTTGGTTTTGGTAATTTTTTAAGGTTCGAGGTCCCCACTGATTGGCTTAGGACCAACTATAGTAGCAATATCAAATAGGGTGGGGGTCACCATCCCACAAGGGGTATGAAAAATGTTATTAGTGGACTCCCAAAAACATAGAGCAACTAGGATCATTGAGGGATTATACTTGGGACTAACTCTTGAAAGTTATATCAACTCATAGATGCCTTGAACATGCCATACAAAATTCTTTGCATGCTCTACCCTATTTAACCAGTTGATATAGGTTATTTATGCACCATTGACGGGAGGCACAGAGCGGAAAATCCTACTATTTGGGAAGTTGAAGTCAATAGGTTGGTCAAGGAAGACCAAAGGTTCCCAACCTGTATAAGTAGGGAAGAAGTTCTTCAGAATAGTTGGGTTCTTTTGAATCCTGGGGAAGAGGACTCGTGAATGCAAGAATGGTGCCTCCAATAGAGTAAGGGATTGTTGCATCCAAATACCGTATTCTATTTTTCACGTGTGATCATCATGGTAAATAAATTCTTCAATGCGGCGGGTGAAATGAGGATAAGAGTTAACAATGCATTTTGGTGCCATTGTTGTTCACAACGAGCTTTTTATGAAGAAAATGGAAAGAAAAAAGATGAAGTTTTCAGAAGAAATGAAATAGGTTTTCTCCGGTTCACTATGTGTTCAAAAGGAAGTTATATGAAAAAGAAGAAAGAAAGTGAAGAAAAAGTTTAAATAGTTCAAGAAAGAAGAAAAAGTGCTTCTCCTTGAAAATTTTGGACAAGTGTCATGAGGAGAGTGGGCGGTTGGCATCGGACGTGGGAAAGCGAAGAGGTGATGAAACTAAAAATGATTTAATTTTTAAATTTCATTTATGTTAGTGCCTTTTAATTATCCTTGGAAGTAGGAGTAATATTGATTAGCCATTCACATGTTCTGACGTGACGATTTGGTTAAAGTCAGACATGATGACTGAATAAATGTCCCATCAGTATGACATATACAATTTTCGAAATCTGAGTTGAGATGACTTCAAAAACATCACCTTTCTTTCATTCAGAATATTATCGAAAGTGGCATTTTTGGGGAGCATTTGTTAGCTTGGAAATTTCAGCTAAAGGAAATTAATAAAGTTTGATGCATTGGAACAAACTAAAGTACTAAGATCTATTTATTTGATTCAAAAAAAGTAATAACATTTATTTATTGAGCGTCAACAAGAACGTAGGCTACGTCGAAAGGATCAATCGACATGAAAAATATGATTTGGAGAAATCTCATGAACATATCCACAAGATCAGTATCATGTTGAAACATGTTCAGAATCTTGAAAAGTACATTCGACGAGAAGATACCTCGATAAAAGCAGATATATCGACACGAGTTATTTGTAAGTTGAAAAGACTAAATCTTTTTCACGAGTCTAGAACATTAGTCAAAAAACGTGTCGATAGGAATGCCGAGTCAAACGTTGACAAAGAGTCATTGTGGAAGTTCAGGGCAGTTAGTGATACAAGATATGATTAGTCAGCGTTTAAATCTCAGGAAACACGTGGTAACACGACAAAGGTTGAAGTTTGAAATTAGATGATACATGTCGAAGCGTCTGACGGATAGCTATCGTCAATAGTTATTTTAGAGTAGTATAAATAGTTATTTCACATGTTGTAATCGGTGTGGCAAAATCATTGTAACTTCACATAACTTAAAGTACCCACACATACGAGAGAAACGAGTCACCTAAGAAAGTGTATGATACTGCCTATCATCTTTTACTTATGCAAATAAAGTTTGTTTTTCATTCTTATTAAGTTCATTTATTTCAGTATAGTTTAAGTTACCAATTCGTCCCATTCGAATTGATGTTGTTTTGAGTGTTACTTTCATTTTTTTAAATCATTTTTTCAAACATTCAACATTAAATTCTTAACAACTTTAATGCACACTCTTTCCAAGAGAGAATCACATAATATGCTCAGGATTTACTAGTTTGTTCTTTCAAGTAATAAATTTAAAACTAAGTGATTGTTTGTCCAAAAATAACGGTAAACAACGCCTCAGTACCTCTGTTAGGGAATCCGCATACCTCTCGGCGAGAGATTCATTAAAATATTCGATCCTTAATCCATTTTAAAATGTTTCTACGAATATCTCTTGGTTGGAGTGGACAACTTTAATGGTCGCATCATTAAAGCAAACAAAATACCCCTCAAAGATTTTGAAGAACCTTGGTAAATATCAAAAAGACTGGTGGTAGACATTCTTGTATATGCCCGTTAGCCACAAAATGATGGATAAACTTATTTACTATATCTTAATAGTTGGTGACTGAGAGTCTTGAAAATCTATGTACTAATGATAGCAACTTGAAATTCTCTTACACTTAGTAAAAAGTAAATGGCCATAAATCCTATTTTTAAAATAATGAATTCAAAATTATATTTTATCAAATTAAAAAAAAAAAAAACCTTGAATATTCTTAATTCATTACTTTTACGAAATAAAAATAGTATTTAAAAAGTTAATGTTTGTGAACGGCATTTAACAACATAAAATATTTTGAGCTGACAAAATTGTTTAACATGTATTTTTCCATGAAAACATGTTTTTCAAAACTGTGGATGTGTTTGTTTCAAGGATTAAAAATATAATTTTGAGAGTGTTATTTTTTAGAACATTATTCTTGATAATTTTATTCAATATATTTAATTTATAATCTAAAATAAATTAATTGAAATATTTGAGAGTTAGAAAATATGAGTGGTTACTTCTATTCTTATGTAAAATTTCCAAAAAAAAAATGACAAAATTATATGTAAAATGAATTCCTAAAAATAAAAGGTTCCTAAGTATAATTTTGGAAAATTTGCAATCCATGTAAAGATCAACTCGATTTTTACAATCTACATTAACCAAACTGCATTAATTGATAGCAATATTTAATTTTAGAGCATATTTTTATATTTCATGTATTTGAAGACTAAACTATTAGTCTCTTAAAAATTTTAGGAATATAACAATAATACACTTTGATAAATCAATCTTTATTTCATAAAATAAGCCTTAGAAATTATAATATTGAATTAAAATTGACACATGTTGAGTCTATTGATCTTGTACATATACATGAAAACTCATTCAGGGATTCTGGGTCCCTTGACAATTCAGGCCTTCATCTATTGCTAATCAAGAGAGCAAACCCATTTCTTCAATTTGCACGTTTCAATGCAGATTTCATGCTTGTTTAGGGTGCTGTTTAGACAAAAATACACTGTCTCTAGGCTACTACTATTTATAAAGGGACTATAGAAACTTAGATGGGAAAATGTCATTCCTTCATTTGGTGCAAATGTCGTTTTGCTAAAATTTCCAAACATTAATATTACCAGCCCAACATATTGTGGTTCAATAGCCAAAACGAGACTAGAGAAAATACTTAGACTTTTCCCAGTAAACAATGCTTCAACTATGGATACATACATATACCAAAAGAAGGGCATAAAAAAGAAACCTATGTCTTAAACTTAAATAAAAACTATCCATCAACTTCATCTAGAAACAAAAAGCATATTAACCAGATCAGTAAAGACTCCCAACATAGTTTTGTCTTTGAATGAAATTTTGCTAGCGAGCTCTCTTGTTACTACTGCATGATGGGCACTTGTATTGCTTGATATGCTCGGCCCGAGCAGGAGTGATCTTCACACATTTGCCATGGAACCACTTCTCACAAATGTCGCAGCAAATCCAGAACTCATCAGTGCCATCGTTATCACCACAAGCCCCACACATGGCTTCTCCATGTTCATCATCATCATTCTCTTCCAGTCCTTCTTCCTCATCTTTTGGTTGTAATGCCTTTGGGAGTCTGCTCTGAGTTTCAGGAGCCCGCTGTTCAAACAGTCAACAATTAGATCAGTACACAGACTGTATACAAGTTACATATTCTAACCTCCCACAGAATTTTGTAATGAAAGTGCATCAACATAACTTATTAAGGAAATGGATCCTCCCATGTTGAATTTTTTAGTTTTGAAAACTTGTGTATATCACTCTTCATTATTAAGTGGAGCCATATCATAGTTAATGGATACTAATGAAGAGAGATAGACACGGTTTTATTATTATAGTCGTGTGAAATTTCAACACGAGATGCTCCCTTTCCAACCAGGTATACATATCATTAACAATGACTTCAACGATACATTTCTAAAACAATTATGTTATACTGATGTCAATGAATATCCATGTTTGAAGCGCCAAATTCAAAATGACAGTAAAGAAAATGATAATGGTATGTTGAATGCTCTACTTTCCTCTTCTTTTTTTCATACCTTACAGTAGCAGTTCAAATTAAAACAGAAATCAACAGTTCAAAATATGCATCTGCATGCCATAATTATATATTCAGTCAAAACTCTCCATGATTTGTCTACTGTTTATCCTGTAATGGGTAGGGCAGACAAAAGAAAGTTGGGCAGAAGCCACTAGCTAGTTTTCCTTTGGAAAGTTTATCTTAATGCTGCTAGTTATATCGGGTAAGTCTTCATATCGACTTGAATATGGACATTGTGGTGCACCATATCAACCCATTTCTCTATTTTATTTTTATCCAGAGCAAGGAGAATATAAATGATTTAAAACTGCCAAAGAAGTAAGAACACAACCAACAGATCATAGCTTCCTATATTGTAGGCTAAGGGTTATACATAGCTTTGAGATACCGTGATAAGTAACTTTGAGATACTGTGATATGTCTAAGCTCTTAAGATATATATCAGTAATTTAGCTTAAGATTTAACAGAATGTTAAAACTTAAATTCTGATGATACCTTGCAATATCTTACTAGTTGTAAGATCAAGGAGATGGCTATGTAGATTTAGGGCATACGCAATAGGCTCATTAATTCTTTACCTTAAAGCCTTAATTTTAAAGAGGGTTGCTACCTATAAATAATCTACATTTGAAAAACATCCTGAGTTTTACACTGCAATTCAGATAGAAAAAATATTTATGAAAAGATGTATTCATTTGTCATGAAAGTTTGTCCAGAATTATTTACCACTTTAGAACTGGACTTAGATTTGCTGCCACTATTGTTTGAGACTGAAGACTTCTCTTTAACTGGTTTCTTTGTTGAGCCATTAACAATTTCAAATATTGTTGGTAGTTCATTAATCATATTGAATAGACGTTTCCTGCATCACCAAATGGCAAATTATGACTAGATGAATGCATAATAAAATGCATATGACATTACCAAGTATCCAATACACGGATGATTACATGATAACCGAAAGAGCATCGAGTGGGGCTGCTAAAGAAAAGACCACTTGATAAGAACTTGGAATTCACATGATATAATCAATATATACATCCAACTTTCCTTCTTGCACTATCTTAAGATCAGTACTCAGCAGATAATAACTGCCAGAGTTTGCTGCCATGTGTAATGTGACTAAGAGGTCACGGACTTGAGTTGTGGAATCAGCCTCATGCAGATGCAAGGTACGACCCACAATGGGTTTGACCCTTCCCTTATTCTTGTCATAACCGGAGCTTTAAATTACCGAGTTTCCCCTTTTTCAAGGGAAAAGAAATGGTAAACATTTTTGTGTACATCAGCATCTTTGTCTCCATGGTGGGATACTGCCTCAACAATGATTTATAAGCAAATAAAATTGCAAATCAACACTGATACTAGAAAACAGGTATAAAGTGGAGACAATTGCTTTGTGCTAAACAATAAATAGAACTCATATTCAACAAGGGGCTAAAGAGAAATCCAGCACAACAATGACTAAACCGGTATAATGATAAGAAAATATGAACTAAACCACTGTAGTTGATGACGGATGGTGGTCCATTGCGGAGAGCCAAAACCCCACCATATCGGCCGCTTTGCGGCACCGTTATAGCGGATTATGGTGGAAAAACCTGCAATATTGGATGATATTTACCATTGCGGCGAGTCCAAAAACTGCCATGTATATCAGCCATAGCAGCCATGGCGCTGCTATTTGATAAAACTGATCTAAACTACTGCCTTAATTTAATACTCATCCTGAACCACCTTTTTTACAAGGTGACTTGCGATAAATAAAGATATGCCCCGTGTGTTATATACCTGTCAGTTCTGTCAAACGCAAATCTAGCTCCAAAGTAGAATGCAAGGGAAAGCAACCATGTATCACTATGAACAGCAACTAAGGATAACCAGTCTTTTTCTTGCATGCCATCCCTAGCAAAGTTGATACCCAGCACAGGCTCAGGAAGCTCTGGAGGAACTTCCTCAACAGGTAAATTCACTTCCCACTTCTCATTAAGTAATCCATATAAGCACAAATTCTCTTTCTCTGAAAGAATACAATAACAGATATTAAAGCTCGGATACGGAACACAATAGCCACAAAGGAAAGCAAATTAACAAATCAGCAGAGCCAATTTCTATATGAACAAATTTTGCCAGAGAGTAAAACAAAACAATAAAGAACAAAAGTAAAACAGAATATATTTGCACAGACCCAAATGCATATTTTAACCTAATTAATAACTAAACTACACAAACCATCCCAATCAGACAAAACAGTGATATCAATTTCAAACAACTAAAAGAAACCATCAAAACCTAAAATCATCAAAAAAACAAAAGTATTTCAAATGTCAACAACAAAATAATATTCATAATATTATACAGAAAAATGGAGTTAAACTAACCAGGATCACATTGTCTGTAGAAATCTTCAACATCTGCAACAACAGCAAGACCAAACATTAGTACAAAAAATAAAACCTTAACATAAAATCCAAAATTGACAACACAGCATGAAGCTATAGCAGTAGATCAAGCAACAAATTGAAAAATCCCAAACCATAATTTCAAAAAAAAAATAAAAAATTGGGAATTCAAAAAATCAGTACCAACGGTAAGAGCTTTGATGATTCCAGCTCTCCGGCTTTTGAAATCCTCGAAAATATCTTCCACGGAACGACCTCGAACTTCCATTAGATTCAATGGCAAATCGTTATCGTTACGGTTACAGTAAAAAGATAGAGAAAAAGAAAACGATGTCGTTTTAGGGTTTGAGTCAGTAACATAAAGACGAAAACGGTTTTTATAATAATTTGAGAAAACTGAGACAAACTCAGAGAACAAAAGAAAAACACAACGCAGTTTCTTCTTCCTTCGTGTTAGTGCGTGTGGATTTTATTTCTACGGGGTCCAGATTCTCTGTGCTCGCGTCCACCGTAATTGATTTACGATTGTCATGATGGACGGTTATCAGGAATTCTGTACTTTGATTTCTACGTTTTTATTAATTAAAAAATAAAAAAAAAAATATGTGTGCAATGATGAAACGGAATGGGACCCAACTAGATGCAAGCAAAGATGTCTTTCTTGCTTGCGTTACGTCAACACATGCGTTCGTTATTAACTTATTATTACATTAAAATAAAACAGATGTTAATATAAAAATATTTCACATTACGTTTTTAATATCATGTCTTACTTTTATTTATCTATTTTTAAAATTGTTTTTTGTTATGAAATAATAGAGTTTAATAAAAGTTCTAAAAAAATAATTAAATAAAATTTTTATATTTTACTATGAGTAAAAGTGTACAAGACAATATATAAGAAAATATAACATATTTGTGTTTATATAAAATTCAAACTAAAATTACTCTCTCTATTTCTTATTATAAATAAATTTAACTTTTTTATTTATTTATTAAATAATTAATAAGTATAGTTTATATAATATTCAAATATATTATTTATTAAATAAATTTTAAAAGTTAAAATTATTTATGAAAAAGAATAGAGAGAGTATTATTCTTAGACTCAATTTCGTTGTAACGTAATATTCTTTTATTTAACATAAATATCTCGTATATTATTTTGAATTTATTAATTAAATATATTAATAAGTTACGCAAATTTATTGATCTTATCTCCAAGTTTTTTAATTTTTCTATTTATAAAAAATGATTTTCTTTTATTTTGCATAATTATTTTAATAAATTTTATAAATTACTATGATTTTATCTGCTAAATATTTTATTTAATATTTTAAAATTAAATTTTAAAAAATGATCAGGATTTGTTGATATCATATATAAGTCTGTTTTACACTAAATTTCAATCGTTAACAGAAATAAATCAAACGATGTTTTAAATCTAAAAATAAATTTTAATATATCAACAAACTACTTATATTATTTTGATTTTATTTAATAAATATTTTAATAAGTAAGCATGTAAACAATGTTTTAATAATCGGATCGAATCAATCAATTTGAACCGTCTAAAACTGTCCGAACCAAAGAATCAGAGTCAGTTTTATAAAACCGCTCAATTCAAAAAAAATTATCAAATTGATCTTTTCTTCTTTTTTTAAGTTTCATATATCAATATTAAAACTTAAATCTTTTCACATTCACAAAAATGAATTTATAGTGTTTTCTACAACCATTCAAACTTCTAAATTCTATCAC